TGAATCGAGTTTTACGCAATTTCCTGCAAATATTTGTAATTCAAATGCACACAGCAGAAACGGAGCAAATTAAATTGCTCCATGGCATTTTGGAGTATTTGTTTTTGCTTCCTTTTTCAATTACATCCACTAAATAATATAATTTTGATGTCATGTCCGATGCCAACCGTTCCCAACATGACGTTGGATGCAACAAAATGAAAGGCAAACAAACTTTCATTCATCTGTCGGCTGGGAATATTTCAAATTAAATTATTTGGGTCAAATATATGTATGTTCATGTGACTGAAATCAAGTGAATGTATCGATTGGCGTGTTTTTTTTTGGCAAAGCACGCACATAACGCATGTTTTACCTTGACTGCTTTTTGCCAGCGATATCAATTCTATTTGCTTCATGGCATTTTGTCCACTGTTTGAAGAGAACAGAGAGAGAACAGAGAGAGAACAGAGAGAGAGAGAGAGAGAGAGAGAGAGAAGGCAATGACAACAAAGGGCGGACGTAATCGTAAGCACAGAGAATATTTGGAAATTAAATTGACGGTGAACGAATTTCACTCGCTTTGTTCAACAGTTATCTTCTGTGTGTGGTTTGTTTTCCCCCTTCAGTTCAGCTGTTGTTGGAATTTTCCTATAACAGACGTGAGCCGTTTTTTCTTCTCTCTCCCTCTCTAGCAACATTCAAAAAGAATTAAATCTTATCGCTTGACGGAAAATCGGAAAGAAAAATAACAAAATCGGTCAATGTATAGAAGAATTGTTGCCGTTTTCTTCACTGGTAATCGACCGAAAAAGGGAAAATAGAAAAAAAAAACCATGAGCCAGAGCTCTTTCATAGCATTTCGAATGAACGAATATATGTTTTATTTCGTTGTTCCGTTCCGGGCTTCAATGAAAATAGATTTCGGAATGAGCAAGAAAATTGTATGTGTGTATGCGCGCTGTATGTCGACAGTGGCACAGCGCGAGAGAAGGAAATTATGCAAGCGAGGAGACGGGAACTCGACGGGGCCAATACACAATAGTTTTTGGCTCATATAGATGTTGACGTCATTGCACGCCTTCTATGTACTGGAGCGACCAAGAGATATAAAGCGATTTATATTTTTATGAGTGTGTTTCCCGTCAAGCTTTTTCAATTCCAATTCCGAAGCGAGAACAGAAGTGAAACAGAGAGAAGGCTGAATGTTATCCACCAATAAATTATGTCATATACTCCAAATAGGTCAAAAGTAGATTGAGCGATTTTCTTCGTGCACACGGTAAATGTACGATTTTGTGTGTATATACGTGTATGTATATGTAGCGAGCGCGCCAACCCGCTTCCCATATGTACACAAAAAATCTTCCCATTATAATTGGACAATGTTATAACAATTCGAAGTGATGAACGGAACGGAAGAGAAGGAAGAAATTATTGTGCAAATCGGATGTTGATATGCGCCTCACTTGCGCCTCGAGTGCAACAATTCGATGAGGGGATCTTCCTCACTCTCTCTCCCTCCCTCACTCTCTCTCGTACAACCATCGATGATGCACTAATACTTCAATCCGATCGACACTTTGCTATTCCGAATCGATGAAGCGATAAATTGCTGCTCTTCCTGCTTCCATCCAGTGAGAGCGCAGAAATCACACGGAAAACTATTTGAATCGAATAAGAGAAAAAGACAGCAGAAAAAAATCACATAAACCAAATGGAAACTTGGTTATTCTCCTCTCCCGGAAAATTGTCGAGATTTAATATAATTTGATAAGATCTGCCCGAAAGCGATTGAGAAAATTAACCCGTTTTAGTTTTCACCAATTTTCAAACGTCAGAATGCAGGAAAAAAAAACGAACCATTTCCTTTCGAATGATTCGATAAAAAAGCTGTTACATAAATCTCCTATTCTCGCACCATCGATTCGATTTGTGCAGCGAATGTCATTTTAAACACTTGATAGCAACGATAATGACAGCCAATTTTCAGAAAAGTCAATGAAGAATGCATACGTGTCTGTGTGTCCCTGTGTATGCTGGTGTGATGCACCTTTCCAACTGCGACAGTTCACTTCCATTTCAATTTCATGACATCGCACGGTATTCTTCTTGTAGCAAAACTTTGAGTGCTATTCTTAGTGAACGTTTCATTGTTCCAGGTTCACATGAACTAACTACGTAAGAAAATGTAATCTAATTTGTTGATTTCCGTACATTGTTATGTTTTCCATTTTATTTCGTTCTAAAAATAGAGAACTTTGGCATACATGTGTGCAGAATGGTTAGTTTGAGAGAGCGAGAGAAAGAGAGAGAGGCCGAGGCGAATGTATTCTAAGACATTTTGCTTGCGTTGAATGCAGCAGCCTCGAGAATGCTTATTGGCATATCTTTTTCATAAAAGGCAACTCGTTACATACATATTATCCTCGCTTCTTATGGTTGGTGGGGAGGGTGAGATTGTGAAGCTTTTGTGCTGGAGTGTATTCAACACATCTATAGCTTTTCAAAATTAATGCCCGAAGGCATTAGAGCGAAAAGTCACCTTTGGTATGAAAATAAATTGGAAAATCGTTAAGCTCTCATGCAAAGTCGTCGAAAGCGACTCATGGAATCCAATGGAAATGCTACGGTTCATGCTTTTGACATTTTGTCTCTGCGATTCAAGCTCATGAATTAAGATGAGTGTGTGAGAGCGAACGGACGGACGGACGGACGGGCGAACGGTAGAGAGTGACTTAAATATGCATGAAATAAAACACAGGAAGTAATAGGTTAATAAACATGGAAATATCAATTGAAAAGCGACCACAAAATGACGCCACATTGACAGTAGTTAGTTAATCCATTTAAAACAAAAAGGCCAAACGAACAACATTACTAATAAAATTCTGTGTACTCCTCTCTCTCTCTCTTTCGCTCTCTCTTTCTCTGCTCCGCTCCGTTTCATTCAATCACACAGCTCCATCGACAGCACCACCAAAGACTGTGTGATACGTGTTATCGTTCTCGTCACACGAATATCAACAACAACCACATTCAAGCGAGCAAAAGCAAAATGCCCAACTAAAGAGACGTATCCTCAATGGAATGAAGGAAAAACTTTTGCTATTCTGCTTCATATTCAATTAAACATGCATGGGGCGTCTATATATAAATTATAAAATGAGAGTAAATGTTAGTTTTGCTTGTTTGCATTTCAACGATGCTTGCGATTTTACCAAGTGAAAAGTTTTCACCATTGAAATTGGTTGCACAAAATTTGCATTGACTTCGTTCTCTCGCTTTCTCTTACTCTCTCGTTCATTCTATCTCGCTCACCCGTTGGTGAATCCAGCCTCATTCTGTGTTTAGCTGATATGAAGTTTCAGTTTGCGTTTGTGACGTTATAAGTGCAATAAAGGAGGATGAGGCGCGCAAATATTCACGAATTCACACATACATACGCGTGCACAAGCGTCGAAATGCTCCTTCCATGGCAATGCCATCCCGATTTTTCCCGAATTAATTTTTTATCCTACTAAACACACTCAATGCTGAAATGAAATCATTCAGAAAATATACCGAGGCGAAGGGAGCACATTGAAGAGAGTTGGAGCATTATATATACTATGAATGCACGCACACTCACAAAATTTCCACTTTATGTATACCATTGAAATGTTGGAGTTCGGATTCCCGTTTTCCTGTACGTCCTTCATCTTCGTCGTTGTTGTCGTCTTGATTTTTCGTTCTATTGAAACAGAGCTATGTGTATGCGTGTGATTCGTAATGACGTCATAGCCATCAGGTCACCGGCCTAGTTTTTTTTTTCGTGTTGTTTCGTTCGATCGTGATTCGTATCGTATATTTTTCATCTTCATTTTTCCGTTCGCATGATGAATTTTTGTACGTGCTTTACTGCACGAACAACATCAATATACATTTGGTTTGTTAATGGAATCTCTTATGTGCGCTCAATTCAGCATTTTTTTCTGTTCGACGTTCGGTTTTTTTTCCTTACTCTCCTCTCGTGTGGCGAACTGTTTATTTTTCTTTTTTTTTTTTTGCTTTTTTCTCTGTTCATTTCAAACGAAAGAAAAATAGTTCTTTTTTCGCACGTTCGCTAGTAAATGGGAAAAACAAATTCATTATTTAAATTTAACTAAGTTTTCAATATTCGTGATGAAATAGGCCAAATTCGAGCGCGCAATAAACGTTCGTTCGCTTGCTCGTTCACTTACACTCAGCTCACGCTGCATTCTGTTTATAATTTAATTTTCAGTCTTTTGATTCGAGTGAATTTTTAATCAAATATTTCACTTATTGAGTTCGTTTTTTTTTTTGTTCTCGTCGAAAAACCTTTGTGTAATAGCGCATAGAGTAGAGAACCTCAAATGAGCGCGCACAACATATTGTATATGTCACACTGTGTGCATATGATTGATCCCATAGAACGGGCAAACAAACCCTCATCGTGGAGCCCTTTTATTCTATCACTTTGCACAATTGCATTATGTAAAAGTTGTGCTCAGCGCATAACAATCGATTAGTTTCCGAAGCATTGTGATGTTACGCCAATCACATTGTTGCCATGAAACAATTCATCCTTTTGTTTTTGATGCCATTTCCGTCGTCCTTTTCATACCGATAAGTTTTTTTTTTTCAAATAAAACTTGACTCTCTCGCAAAACCCGCGCACACAAGAGGAAAATATCAACGTGTGCATACTCTTCTTATGTTCAATTTTCATATTCGTCTAAAATCAGAATGAATCGAGTTAAAGATATGACAGCGACAAGAAATAAAATGTGTGTGACACTTTTTGTTCCCTTTTGAAAAGTGTGTGTACAGGTGAACACTCACTTACGTCATTAAAACCATCCGATGAAATAAATAGACTCAGTGGCCTGCTGCGATGAACAAAACAACTTGTTTTTATTTATTGTCATACATTTTCATATGGAATCACAACACACCACTCTGACTAATCATTAACTAAAAAAAAAAATCCATCTTTTTTCGACGCCACCTTTTTGCAGTGTGTAACTTCATCGTGCACGAGAAATGTATTCAATATGTTGTGACACCTTGTTCGAGCATAGCACCATGTATAATTAAAAATCCCGTAGCGCATTGTTGGTCGGAACCAACGCATCACAAGAGAAAATTTTGTACCGTATGCCGAAAACGATTCGATGAATCACCAGCAGTTCATTGTATGAGTAAGTAATTCATTCTGTTCAATTTTCTCAACGGATTTTTCACCAAGTACACCATACTCAAATTCCTATTGAGCAAAAAAAAAAAACAAATCGATTTTAATTTTCTTTCCAATCCTAATTTTTCTCGTTTCAGTATGCGAATATTTCGCACATGTCGATTGCCAAGATTTTGCTATTCCCGATTGCAAGGAAAACGCCACATATGTTCCAGGCAAAGAATTGTCGTCCGTAAAGCATCAAGTAAGTGTAGAACATCATTTGGTTTGCATTTCACTATGAGACACAAAAGCGATAAGAAACAAAAATCGCTGTAAATGTGAATGGAATTAAACAATTTAATTGAATTTCAGCATCACTGGCGAGAAGGGAATCTTCCACAGACATCGAAATGTGCTTACCGCAGAAAAAATTGTTGGTCTACAGAATGTTTAACAGGTGTGTAATTGGGCTCAAGTTTGTCAACTTTCTAGAAGAAGACAAAAGATTTCCGATTTGAATATAATTGTGATTTTGTGTGTGACTTTGCAAAAACTCAGGTTACCGCTGCGAATGGTGTGGCATGACAACGCATTCGGCATGTCGCAGTTATATTTCAAACGAATGCACATTTGGTGTGTTGCAACCCATTTATCTGCCACCGCATGCCGTTTCAATTCCACGCACCGAAGTACCCATGGAAGCCATTATCGGTGTTCAAGTGAGATCAAGAAGTACTCCATTGACAAGAGACTATTCATGCCGTAAGTATTCAATCAGCTCGCTTTGTTTCAATTTACACACTCCCCTTGCAATAGCAAAATAGACACACACAAGCAAACCGTCTCAACTGTGCATCAAATGCATCATATTTTTGGTCATAAGCCGTTGATGCAATTTCGTGGTCATTTCAATTAAAATGTAATTTTCTAAAATCATGATTCCAAAAATTAAATAAAAAAATCAAATCGACCTGAATTTGTTAGCGGAACTTAGAACGATTGGACTGTGTGATGCGACGAGTGACAGCGAATTGTCCATTCGACATCTCGAGCTCACGCCAAACACCAGCGAAACTAGCTTTCGATTGAATCCGAACAGCACGATGCCGAAACAATCCAAAGAGTCGATTGACAGCGGATGCCAAAATGAAACAAGCCAAAACTGTGAACACATTCGAAACGACAACGGCGACACATGGCGACATTGTGATTTAAACATTGTAGATATTACGAAGCATATTAGTAACGATAGGAAAAAGGATACATTAGATTTAGCGGTAAATTGTCGAAAATCATCGTCGAGCACACTGTCGGACGCGAGTAGTTGTGGCACCAATAAGTCGGCATCGACGGATCAACAGCAGCAGCAGCAGGAGGAGGAGCGAAAGCGAAAGGATTCGCCCAAATATCATTCGATAATCAAAAGTCGGCTGCGCAAAGATGCATTCATATCACGAAGTAAATCGTTCCAAGAGCAAGACGTACGCAAACCCAATACACGCTTTTATATTTTACGACGAAATCCAAACAATGAATTCGAAAACGAATATAAGCTAAGTAAAACGATTTCGCATCACAATATCGAAATAACGATCGAAGACACTGACGCCAATGAGGAGGAGCCCATCAATCACAGAACGATATTGAAACCAATCAAAAAACCCAGTCAAAATGAATGCTCGTCATTGAATTCACACGAAGTGAAATATCATCGTCAGAAAATTCGTAGCGGTCATATATTGGGGCGAATATTTCGTCGTATGCGTAACTTATCGATGGCCTGGCGAAGGTCAAAAAATAAGTCACGGAACAGAGGTGAATTCCAGTTTAAATGTCACTCGTTTGGTTTTCAACTAACTAAACTGAATTGTTGTCCTTTTGGGAGAACAGTAACACAATTTCCATCGACTAAAACCATCGTTTTTATTCGTGTGAAAGTGTGTTGTAGCATAAACTAATCGAATGATTAAAAACAACAATCTAGATCATAATTCAACTGAGTTTATAGCCTCTAATAGCACGATTGCACATGAAACCCAGTTTTTTTTTTCGTTTCACTTTTTCTGTGCCATGCGACTCATGAATTATATGCGTTTCTCTTTTTGCACATCTCGTTTCATTTTTCTTATCCGCAGCACGAAGCATATCTGAAGAGTTCAGCAGCGGTGATGCAGCTCGTTTACGTGATGAAGAATATGCATCGCGGCCCGAATGCAGCGGTTCGGGTTCGGGTTCGCATTCGCGCACCGAATCAACACACAAATCTGATAAAGGCGATAAACGTGACAAAGAGAAAGAGGAACGTGACGAAGAAACGATTAAAGTGTTTGATGGTAATTTATCGTTGCGACGGCGCATTTTTCGAGCAATAACCGTATCGCGTCAATGTTCACTCGAACAACTGTTGACCACATCGTTGCGAGCATTTCACATAACACGCGATCCAGCTGCATTCTACTTAACCGATCTGTATGCGCCCGGCAATGAGGAGGTGCGTGTACAAGATCCACATCCAGTGTTGAATTTACATCGCATTGAAGGCAAACGACCAGCAATATTTCTCAGGTTTCTGTAAGTATTCGCTTTATATTATGTCAGATCCCGAACACCCACTTCATAAAAGCTGCATGGTCAAAATGTCATATTCTAATTGGGCTTCATTTATTTTGTTACAGTGATGAAAACGACAGAGGATTCGTTCGTGTTTATCCGGGAAAATTGCAATTGCAAATCGAAGATGCTTTTGTTAATGTGCCAGTGGACAATGATACCACTGTCAGTGACTTAGTTCGTGATGCTTTGAATAGATTTGGACTACAAGATAATAAAATCGAGGATTACAGGTTTGCATCGCTTGACTTTCTCTCTTCCTTTGTCTCTTTATCGATGGTCTGCATTCTCATCCGGCAACGATCGTGTCTCATTCCATTTGTTACAGGTGTTCGGAAGTGTTATTAGATCGTGGTGTAACCGAGCGCATTCTGTCGCTCAACGAACGACCATGGCAAATAATGAAACAATTAGGCAAAGATTCAATTCGTCAAATGGAACTGATGCGATTCTATTTGCAACACAAACAGGATCCGCACGGTCCAAACATTGCACTATTCATCGGAAATTTACCTCAAGCTCTATCGCAGCGAAACTATGAGCAAATCATAACCAAGTACACAACCGAAGAAAATAAATATTCGAGCATCGGTCCCATTTACTATGAATACGGATCGGTGGTGATTACGTTCGAGAATGCGGCCAAAGCCGTGCGCGCATTCTACAATTTACGCGAAACCATTGTCGAAGAGAAGAAATTACAAGTGTTATTGTTGCCAAATATTGAACCGAGCATGGTGCCGGCTGGTGTACAGCCACTACTAGTATTTGTTAATGTAAAATCCGGCGGTTGTCAAGGCTTAGAATTGATATCCAGCTTCCGTAAATTACTGAATCCGTATCAAGTATTCGATTTAGATAATGGCGGCCCATTGCCCGGTCTCTACGTATTTAGACACATTAAAGACTATAAAATTCTTGTGTGCGGCGGTGACGGTACGATCGGATGGGTGTTGCAGTGCTTAGACAATGTTGGTCAAGATTCAGAATGTTCAAGCCCACCGTGTGCTATTGTTCCACTTGGAACCGGTAAGTTAGGATTTGCGAGATTTTCGTTTATTTTTTTTTTTAAATAAAATTTGACATTGTTTCGGTTAGTTTAACCTTTTTGAATCCCATATGAAAATTGTCCAAATAAAACCCAATTCAATGATGCACTATTCAAGCAAAACTCCCTTGATGTGTAATGAAAAAAGTAGATTTGAGTAATGCTAAAAATAAAACTGTCAATTTCCACGTAAAGGTAACGATTTGGCGCGTGTATTGCGGTGGGGTCCTGGCTACACCGGCGGTGAGGATCCGTTGAATTTGTTACGCGACGTAATCGATGCCGAAGAAATACGCTTAGATCGATGGACGGTTGTGTTCCATCCGGAAGATAAGCCCGATGATGTAGCGCAAAAGGCGCCATCGAATGCAACCGGTAAGAAGAAGAAGGTTCATCAAGCACAGCCATCACAACAGAATCAGCATCAAACAGCGGCATTAACGTCTAATAATCAGCCACAAGGTCATTTGAGATCACGATTTCAATCAATTCTAACGCACTGAAACGCTCACTCTCTGCCAACAGTTGATTTTGCGAGATGTAAACATTCTCTGAAATCAAACTGGCGCATCTAAGTATTATTTTGAAATAAGGACATGCAATGTTTAGAATACCTTGAATCTATTTTTTCGTCATTTGTACCCATAAAATCGAATCCAATCTGAGCATAAGTTCAGTGGATCTTTGCAAATAGACAATTTTTGTAATCTCCCCCTGACAAACGATCACTCACCACCATATGAAAATACTTCAATTTTTCGTCTTGTAAAGAATCTTGTGACACTTTTTTTTTGGTTTAAATCTTCATTTCATGTTGTAATAATAATGAGTTGATAGTTGATCAACGCAATAGAAATGTCCGAAATATTTTGTATACATTTCGTTATGTATTCTGCTTACGTGTGCTGACCTATTTCTAATTCAATGTTGTTAAATTAATCTACTTTATTGTAAAAAAAAACACACACACACCTACGAAATGTACGGCGAGTGCTTTTAATTTGTAAATATTGCTTTGTAATTACTTTTTTTCACTATTTCTATTCAAAAACCAACTATTTTATCGTCGGCATATGGGTTTTGAAGCGTAATTTCTGTAAATAGTCGTCAATATTTCAGCATGAATAAATCCATGGACGCACACTCGAAACAAATACGCCTCATTCAATGTATATACAAACAAAATCCATGACGTATATCAATCTCCATTCAAATTTCAAATTTCAAATTTCCAATGCCAGAATCATAAATCATGCAAGAATTGTTGATGTTGTGCTTAATGGGTCATTTAAATGTAAAAAAAAAACAACCGATACTTTTCATTCCGTTTTTGATAAATATCGATTTACAAATTATTTTTTCTGCTTTTGTAAAGATTTGGAATTGTGAAGCGTTTTCATTTCGATTTGAACAAATGAAAAAAAACGAGGAAAAAAAAATTAAAAATCGATGAAAATGTTTCACATTGAATCCTTTCTATTGTCGATTGCTTTGAATTGAGTTGACCAAAACGAACATATAAATTGCAGTTCAATTCCAAGAATCGATTACCCCAAATTTTAGACTAGATTATTCGAATGTTGATGTGCTGCTGCTGCTGCTGCTGCACATTGCCCATTTACAATTCTTTACTAGACAGCTCAATATTTTATTTTCGTTTGATTTTATGCTGTACAGTGACCGGAGCCACACAAAGTGAGGATAACTCACAGATGCTGGTGATGAACAACTACTTTGGCATTGGTATCGATGCTGATCTCTGTCTCGACTTCCACAATGCACGCGAAGAGAATCCAAATAAATTCAATTCACGCTTGCACAACAAAGGTGTTTATGTAAAGATGGGCTTACGCAAAATGGTTGGCCGAAAAATTGTAAAAGAATTGCACAAGGAACTACGCTTAGAAGTCGACGGTAAAGTGGTCGACTTGCCTCAAGTTGAAGGAATCATCATCCTTAATATTTTGAGGTGCGAAAAAATTGCATTCAACGCATTTGATTTAAATGACTCAATTTTGATGATTTGTACGGTTATTGTTTAGCTGGGGAAGTGGAGCAAATCCATGGGGACCAGAAAAAGAAGATCAATTCTCAAAACCAAACCATTGGGATGGCATGCTTGAAGTGGTTGGCGTCACTGGCGTCGTGCACTTGGGACAAATTCAGTCAGGTCTTCGATCGGCCATGCGAATTGCACAGGTAATTTCATCATTTAATATCGCTACTTCAATTCGGAATGCAATGTTTCACAGCACTTGCAATGCTAAATTCATTGCAATGCCACTGCTTAAAAGTTCGGCTTTTAAAATGGAATTTCATCGAATTTCTTAGGGTGGTCACATCAAAATCCATTCGCATTCGGATATTCCAGTGCAAGTTGACGGTGAACCATGGATTCAGCCACCAGGCGAAGTCGTCGTATTCAATTCTGCTCTAAAGGTCAGTATCCACGCGAATTGTTATTATTTCTTTGTTTCGAACAATCAAAGGGGAAAAAAACCATCGGCCTATTAGCTTTCGACTTTTCATTTTTTATTTTTATCATTTTTTCGTTCAACTTCCGTTCGATTCTCATTCGATTGGGTTTTTTTTACATCTTTTCCGTTACTCAAAGCGATATAACCATTTCTAGTTACATTTTGTTTGTTGTCTGAATTTGTTTGGAACCTATCTCAAAAGAGTGTCTGTTTGTGTGTGTCTGAACGAGATTGCCACAAAGACTTATGCGCGTTCATTTATATTATTATCCATTTTGTTTGTTTCTTTCGATTTGAATAAATTCAAACATATAACCGTAGAGAATGTTTCGATGAGTCATTACAGATTAAACTAAATCGATTTTCTAGTGGATTTCAATTATATGCATGCAAAATCCCACGTTTTTTATTACACCTTTCTCAAAACCAAATTTTTTACTCAACTCGTTCAAAACTGAGTGATTTCAAGCACCATTCAGATCATAGTTTTATGATCAGTTTGCTTACAAATGATATGAATGCTTTTTTGAAATTCGTTTTAATTTACTGACGTACGAATATTCGTTGGCTTTTATGAAAATATCGTATGAATCCGAAAAAAAGGCGCAACGAAAACTAAAAACAGGGGAAAAAACATCAAAATTAAAGTAATTTGTACCTTTAAACTAATCAATTTTTCAAATAAAAAGCCAACAAATGTCCATCGTCCATTTCGGTTGTTTTCATATATCTAACGGGAATGCTGTTTGATAATGCGATTTAAAATCGTTGCTTGTTAAATTAACCAATTTATTAAACCTTTAGCACGAGTTCTCAATTTTGGATTTATTCAACTTTTGATTTCAAAGCAAAAACTGCACCAATTTTTTTGAATTGAATTTTGTTCACACATAAAAGAGCACCACAATTTTTTATTCGCAAACCAAAGCAGACCTTTTGACATCGAAAAAAAGAGCTGATAATATGGCTCAGAAATGTAGGCGCATGTATCGCATATGAAAAACACAGAAAAAGTTCAAATTTCATTCAAACGGTGCGCGCATTCAAATTTCATCCAATTGAAATGAATCAATTCCATTGGCATCCATTTGCCTCTTTCCAAAAGCATCTTCCTTAGTATAATTTCGCATATTGAAACGAAAATTCCGGCATTTCTTCCTCAGTCCGGAGGAAGTGATCATTCGCTTTGCTCAGATGCATTCGAAATTATTCACCACCTGAATTGAAAGCAATCATAATCGGGTTTTCACACTAACTAATTCCCCTGAATGTGAATTTTGATTTGGTTTTCGTCATCAAATTGTTTCTTTTTTCTGTTCGTTTTGTCTAGCGCTCAATATTTTTCTGTTATGTGACTTTAATTTTTAACTGAAAAAAAAACATACAAAACACAATTGATGCCATCACAAACAAACCACCAAAACGAAGAAAACAAAACAAAAATCTGAAGGTTAATTTGTTGATTTCATTTATATATTCATTCGATCGTAGGCAACAATGTTGAAGAAAATTAAGAGTAAAAGAAGACTCACGGAACCGCACATTTCACCTGCTGTAACAGGTGCCGCTCCAATGCTACCCGAAAATGGAGACCGTGACAAAGATCACGCTGGCACTTAGAGCTTCCGTCCGTCTGGTCCTAGTTTTTTGTTTTCCTGTTTTCTCTAAAACAATCACTCCTCCCCCAACAATGAAATGAAATGAAATACAAAGCAGACGCTGAGAGATATAGAACATTTAGTTTGCCGATATGCGTGCATCAAAAGCAACTCTAACAACAGGCAACAACAACATCAACAACTACAACTAAACCAACACAATACAAAACCATATAGTTTTTTTTTCGTACACTTCGGATCCGCCCGAGTGCGGCCATTAACACGAATCAATAATGAATACCCATACACATCTAGTACAATTATTAATAATTAAATAGAGAAACAAAAAGAAACGCTTTTTTGTTGTTGTGTATTTAACATACAATTTAAAATAGACGTATTCGTTTAATCGTTTAAAGAAATAAAAAACCAAAATCCTTAGAACATTTAACCAAATAGATGAGAACAGAATAAAAAACAAAATAGCCAAAGCGATAACTACATTTACAACAACACAACATAATCAAATAAAACAAAAAAAAAAGTTATACGAATACAAAGCAAATTTTTTGTGTGACATTTAAACAATACAACAACAAAATAATAATGGAAGTCAATATATAGACAATTCTATAAATGAGCTCAACTCAGTGCAAAAATCCGACAACACAATTCATTATAAACTATTATTTATATGCAAAGCGGGTGCAGAACGTTGGCATTTTTTTTTTCTTCGTCAAATAAATCCAAATAGCGCAAGACAATTTCTCTTATCTCGTTTTATCTCAATCTCTCTTTCTCGCTCTACTCAACCATTCTCTTCGCTCGTTGTATTTTGCATTTGGCACGTGTTTCGTTCCCAATAAAGTTTTCAATACTAGAACTTAAAAAATATGTCGTGAGAATTCACACACGGATTGTCTGTTCAAAGGGAAAAAAAATACTCATGTTCCGTACCCAGGCGTACGCAAATACACTCACAAAAATATTTTGAAGAAAACACACACACATACACACAACATTTATATTTATTAGAGACATTTTGCTATTAGTAACAACCACAACAACAAAATACATATTGAATATGCAATGTTTATTTGATTTTTGAACATAGTTTAAATATGCGAATGAATGTAGAAAAAAAAACACTATACCAAAAAAAACAAAACTGGAATTAACGCCAAACTAAAGTCTAATAATGTATAAAAAGAAAAGAAAAACTGAAAACGATGCGCACGTTTACGATGTTCGGACAAAGACAAACAGTTTCGACGCAAGAAAATTTGGAACCATAGAAAAACGAACGTTCAAAAAAGAAGAAGACGAAGAAGAAAAGAAGACAAAATTCAACGGCGACAAAAAAAAAACGAGGAAATCAATGCACCACCGTCACACTATTTATTCAGTTGTTGATTTTTTGATGAAAGTTGAATTGTTCTTTGTTTATACGCTCCACTATATTTCAATACTCTGCCCGTTTTATGGGGTGGACCGTACTTAGTTATGGACATTCACTGAATTTTCTGAGAAAGTCGCTTGATTTCGTTTTTGTTGCTCCGATTCGGACCGTTCACCGGCCATTCGAGAGCTCATTTTAAAAACATACACAGAAAAAAAAAAACATTCACGTAAACCCACCAATTTTTCGATACAAAAACCAAAAGAAAAACACAAAACCAAAGATGGACCATCCACACTTACAGGATACGATTCAATTGAGTTGATAACACCAATAGTATCGCTGATTTTTTGAAAATAACACACAAACACACACACCAACACACACAAACACCAGCCACCAAAAACCAATAAATCTTCGACTGATTTCTGAGATCTTTGCTGATCAGAATAACCGCACGCATATATTCACACGCAAACGCTAGACATTCGACTTTTGAAATAGCAACGCGGTAAAAGAAACAATCTAAAACTATCAATAAAATTAGCTAGAGTTGGCTTAAGATCCAAGCAGATGCCATTTTTTTTTATCAACTAGTTTGCCTTGACAACTGTTTTTTCTCTTTTGTTTCTCTGTTTTACTTTTCATTGCATTTTTTTGTGTACACGATATATTTTGGGGAAAAAAAATAATGAATTAGCAATAATGTTTTTGTTGATCTGCCAATTGCGACTTTAATTTGCCTGTTTTTTGGAATCAAAACCAAATTTGCCGTTTTCTAAGCATTCACATTCGACCGTGTTTTTTTATTTTCTTGCTATACACAAAATTTTTGTTTAATTGATTTGATTTTCGTAAAAAAAGAGTGCAAAAAACCAAAAATCTCGCATTCGCTCATTCACCTTTGAATATTTCTTTGGTTTTTTTCTGTTTGAACCAGCGGATTTTTCCTTTCTTTTATGTTGTTCGTTCGAATTCTATATTACTATTATCGTGTTTTGAAAACGAATTTTGACATTAACTGTAATACAATAGATTGGCTTTTTGGAATATCAAATTTTCTTTAATCTGTATATTGACATATATATTTATTCCCATTTTTTATAACCTAGTTCATTTATATACCCATTTTTTTCACCAATATTTTTACTCGTTGAGATCGGAACGAATTATTTTCTAATGTGTTTTATTTGTATCGCTTTGATTTTATTTATCCCGGTAAATGGAGCCCTTTTCTCTTGATTGTAACCGAACCGATTTGCTTTTGGCCCAAAAATTGTCGACATTTTTGGTTCGTCTTTTCTTTCGTTGTGAAATTTTTGCCTTCATTTTTTCGACTTAATTTGAAAATCTTCCGTTCGCTTTTGATTCCATTTGAGTTTTTGCCGTATGATTTTCTAACCTGAATAAGACATCTCGTGTGTCTCATTAAAAGCTAAGCGATATTTAAAAAAAAAAAACAACAAGTCAACAGCTAAATCAACTATTATTCTTTTCAAATTGCAACTTCAACAAATGCCCTTTTATTAAAATTCCTCTTTCTTTTTTTTTTCTTTTTCCGACTGTTTTCGTATTTTTCTCTCATACACACGAAACTAAACAAAAAAAACAAACTGCTCCATCTTTTTCTATGACATTTACAAAAATACACACACACCCACACATTGACAACCACAACAACAAAACAAAACCAACCCAATCCATGCTAAATGTTATCAACGTCTATAAATGTTACTCTGCAAATACCGATGTAAATTGTATAAATGAAAACCAACGATCGAAACAAAACCAAAAAAAAAAACAAAAACAATTCCGCATTTCAAACCAAATTTAAACGAAACAAACAAACACTATATTCATAATATGGTATGTGTGTATAAATCGATATTGAATTACATTTCTCACATTCCATGGGACCGGACGGCGACGATAACTGTGTGTGCGTATTATATGTGTAAAACTTAACCAAAAAAAAAACACTTGATGAATTGAACAAAAAAAAAAAACCAATACACGAAACAAATATCGTTTAAACAACAACAAATGCTGGATTGCACAGGCAACAATGTTAAAGAAAATTAAGAATAAAATGAAGCGCCGCAACACTGAACCATCGATGGCTGTTGCGGCCGCTGGACCATCATTGGCTGTCGCGCCACAGGATAACGACGACCACGACAGCAACAATACGGACTTCTGAATTTGGTACAATGAACGACTCATTTAATGTGTTTATTAAATCAACCGAAAAAAAATAGCACGAACAAATAAACAAAAAAAAAAACAGCAAAAACTCGTTGAACGGTAAACCGAACAGTGGTAGGCGAACCGAATTCGCATCATTTTACATTTCAACGCACCTTTGTTTGGCCAGTGATTTATTCCGTCGTTACGGCGGCATTGAACGATTGATTTGCATGACGAAATGAAACATCGCTTTTCACAAGCAGCGGAAGGACTGGTTACGGCTTTACCAAAGCTTTTACCATAAGCTCGTTTCAAAAGAACAATTTCCAAAAACAAGGGAAATGAAGAAAAAAAAAACGAAATGAAAAAAAAAACCAAAATAGCTTCTTCGGTGGAAGTCTCATGCGAATGCATCGTTCATTGCCACATGCTGACGGAGGGAACTGTTGCTGCGGCTGTTAAGCTCGCGATTCGCCCGGAAACTATCGAGAATTCAACAGAAAAGCGCATGAAAAACAATAACACTTCACAGCAACGATTGTAGCAGCAATAGATAAGCACGTTAAATAGTCGTTCATTCATGAGTATCGAATGTACGAATGTATCCAATGAAAAAGTTCTACTAATAAAACAAAAGAAGAAGAAGAAAAAAAAGAAAAAAAACAATTGATTAATTTGTGTTGTAACCTGAACGTTGTGCATCAATAGTAAACGTGTATTTATTTCATTGAAACCAGATTGTAAAGCGAAATATTAACAAAAAATAATAAATAAATAATAATGAAATAATGGAAGACTCCACAAGAAAATTCTAAATTGACAACCAACCAAAAGAGCAAAAAAGAGAGAAAGATAACATTAACAAACAAAAAAAAACTACAACAACAAAACACTCGGCAAATAAAAGCATAAATAAATCGATTAAAAAAACAAATTTAGCAAATAAAAAAAACAAATTATATATTGTGCAAAAAGGAGAAAAAAACTAAACAAAAAATGCACAAATCAACACATGTTTGTGCATTGATACGACGTCTATAAACAACCAAAATTTCTATGTATCTGTTGAAATGAAAAAAGAAGAAAAAAAATCGTTCCGAGTAAAAGGACAACAAATATAATTCAAAAAAAAACAAATTGACATTGGTGTATTGAACAGAAAGCAATCGCTTCAACAACAATGAACGGTCTCGTTCATTCCGGAATCAGGTTCAGTGTACAATTTCGTTGACTCTATAATTTTGTGACATGATCGAATGCATCACTTGTGTGCATCACTTCGCATAACAGACACAATCGTCACACAGAAACGTATCGCAGCAACAAAAAAAACCAAATAAACACAATACCCTTACATTTCTCGTAGTGGTTAATATTAATGAATCGACGACAGACCAATGAAAAAAAAAACACTAAGATGCGAACATTGTGATGAAACACAACCAAACAAACCGATTTTCGAAGAGAGAATATATATTCAAAAACGATATTCATGATCTGGCTTGCGAAAGCAATAACGTGTGCTGGTCACACCACTTTACTTCTCTTTCACATACACACACACACAACAAATACATACACCAAAAGCAACAAATGAAATGCATACTAACTGAATCTCTGACGATGCGAATCGGAATTGTTCGCGCAATTCCTCGCTGAATCAAATTCGCCGACATTCAACAACAGCAACATAGAAAATAATGAAATAGGAACAAAAATTAAAACATAAATTTAAAGAAAATAAATTAAACAAAAAAGAGGAATATATTAAATATATTTACAAATAAAATGCAACACAAAAAACTAAATTAATTAAAAGAAATGTCTCTATTTATGAGAAAATTTAGTGAAATTTTACAATATTTATGGGATAAATAAAATGTGGACGATGCCCGTTCATCCAATAACAACAACAACAAAAATGATACGATCGGACGAAACAGCGCGCACGCTTCAAAATACACGGTTTATCGGTCGTCGGCACAGAGAATTAGTCTCTTGCTATTTTCTCGTACGTGCGTGCGTGCGCTTACACCGTATAAAATATGAGCATTCATTAAAATTTAAATGATTTTTTCGTGCAACAAATTAATAAAATAAAACATACTAAATCCGAAATCGAAGCGAACAACGTATGACGAGTTAAATACACAAACAAAACAAAAACCATTAAAAAAAAATTTGCGTCATCGCTATCGTGTGTACAAATAGACATTTAACAAATCAATAAAAAAAAATGCTGTAGAAAAAAAATAACACGTTGAACAAAAGAAAAAAAACTATATGAAAAATTACATTAAAAAAATAACTAAATAGCGACGGAAAAATTCTTTGATACATATTTGTTGTGCATTTTACCATATAATTTATTATTCACGCTCTTTAACAAAACAAAAAAAAAACAAGTCTCTGAACAAGAGTTATTCGTTCATTTATTTATATTTAAAGAAAAAAAAGATGACGATGATGAAGAATAAATACAAACGATTGATATGATAGATTTATCTAATAATAAATGTCAAATTTCTTGAACATTCATTTAATTCGGCGTACACTTTTTGTTCAGTCGACATACCAAATTTGATGAGAAAATATTACGTTTTTCTGTTTGTTTTTGTCCTTAGACTATTTTTGTTGGAAATTCGATATAAATGAAGAAAAATTAAATTATTATGAATGAGAGGAAAGGGAAGCGTATAAAAAAAATGCATTGTTTTTGTATTGGTCGATGTTGATCAATCAAAACAAGTGAAGAGATGTACTTAACAACAACAAAAGAGTGAAACATCCAAATTGTGAAGAAAAGAAATCCAATTTAAAAAAAAAATCATTGTTTTTACGTGAATTCTATTTAGAGTTGATATTGAATCCGTTTATGATAAACACAAAAAAAAAGATCCATACAATGGACCCATTACAAACGTAGTCATTTCAAATTGAGCCAATGGAAAGAACAAATGCGGAAATTCCACGAACAGCGACATACGCAACAAATGAAAATGACGAAGAAGAAAAAAAAAAATGTTCGAATCGATTGAATCATCGCCATCAAGTTTTCAAAATCGATTTGTAGCAAAAACAAGGAATAAAAAACCATAGTCTTCATCGCGTAAAAATGTAAAACTGCTGGCCATCTCTCTTGAGGCCGGCCCCTTGTTCTGTTACACTGCTTTAACGTTTTTGTTTTTTTAATGAGACATAAAGTTTTTTCGTTGTAAATGGCGATGAAGATGAATTATGTTCAAAACATAAATAACGCACATTATTTTCACAATACAATACAATTTATTCAGTGATTTAAGTTTTGCGATGCAGACACGAAATACCAGAATACCACAAATGGAACAAAAAAAATCCTTAGTTTGTAAAATGAAATCAACGCTTTTCTTTCGTTCCAATTTCCGCATTATTCGTTTTTTTGTTTTCAACGCGACGATTTTCCAAATGAGCTTTTGGTGTGGCAAGCAGGTACAAGACGGAGCTTTTAGGATGGGTTATGTTGAATGTGGTCATGGTGAATAATTTTGACAAACTTACATCGATCGAATGCAATCGCTTGAGGCTACTTTCAATTGAACTCTTCTCTAATTTCGATCGAGAATACCCTCATCACGTTGCATCGAACTGTCGAAACATTTTTCAATGACTTCCTTCGCTTGACCAGTTGAAACCGTTTTGTGGCTGAATCAATGGCTCAATTCACCGAAACAAATTATCATTTTTCTGCATTTATTGCTCTCTCGCCGTTCGACCAGAGACGATTCTTTGCATTTATTTAATTTTATCGTCGACAACTGTATGGAATTTAACTAAAATCCATCAAAAAAAATGGGATGACAAAACATTCACTCCGAACTCCCAAAACAACAAGTGATTCCATTCAAATCTTTTCACAGCATAAATGCCACACTGTGAAAATGTACAAGTCTCGCCGCACACAATCATCCCTTTCAATTTAGTCAAACAAACCAATTTCGTTGAATTTTTTATTTTTTTTTCTCTCCATAACCTTAGTATGCGCTTGAAATAGTGTGTACGATGTGTTTTTTTCTTTTCAGTTGATTTTAAGCAACTAATTGAAAATGATTGTCGAAGCGGTCAAGATTTCCCTACAAACGATCCAAAAGGTACCATACCTTACAATCCGAAATTATTATGATTGGACTATTAAAAACACATCCATTTCGAGACAATTTTCTCCAGATTTTTTTTTTTAGTTTTCCATGGGTCACTTCTTCAATTTTCTCCCAAATCATCCGAGAAATCCAAAAAAAAACGTTAGTTTTTCTCAATGTTGAACATGAGGCGTTCGAAGTTTGATGTGTTTTTTCAAAAACTGTATCCCCACTTTGGGATACAAGTCTTCTATGGCTCTGTGGAAAAGGCAATCAAACCGCGCTCAAAATGATCCAATTTATCCAAGTTCTTCGTTTCGAATTTAAATTCAATAGCCGCACAAAACGCTTAACCAACTATTTTGTCAAGGTTGAATGAAGCCGCTCTTTGGCACCATTGCCTGACTGAATAGTTGCTTGATCGTTTACAAAACCATTTTGATCATTTTCCAAACCAAAGCTCGAAACAAAAATGGATGTGTGCACGTAATTTGCAACCCAAACATAAGCTGGGGCTCTGTGAGATAGTGATATAGTTGAATTGATCGGATACTCGTTAAAATGGAATGGCCACATTCTCGATTGGATCCTTTCAAATTTTGGCTTCGATTCCAATCGACAATCGACCATCCATTATATCCGTTGGATTCACGGTTACCGTGTCCTATTTCACAAGTTGTTTTTGGTTGGGTTGTGACTTTGTGCCCGAAGCGCGATTGTATGCGAACACAATAACAGCCAAGAAATCTTCATCTCAATCGGCTGCCAGCCGGAAACGAATTTCATTCATTGTCGTTGCCCGGCACCGTTTGCATTCAATCCCAATTCGCCCAATAGTCTTGCCATAATAAATTCCACCAATTGGTGTCACAAAATACCAAAAAAAAAAAAAATTAACAACCCATAAACTATATTTAAGAGTCATGGTAATGAACAAAGAAAAACCACACAAACTAAACAAAAAAAAACTATTTAATTGAAAGAAAAACAAATATTTAATTATGTATTACTATTTGAATAGTTCATTAAATAAAAGAGGGAAAAAAATGAGAATATGTAAACATTGGATATGTGCAAACCAACAAAAAAAAAACATAAATTAACAATATATTTAAAAACAAAAAAGCATATGATAAAACAAAAAATATTAAATTCTAGATAATTAAGTTAAGTTATTGGATATAATCTATTATTTAAAAAAAAAATTAAAATGTGGAAACACATACACAAACACAAAATTAAGAAATATGAAGAAAAGAAAGAGAAAATACAAATGGAGTTTACTAAAAACAAAAAAATGAAGAAGAAAACTGACAAGTGCTCCATCTTCATTGCTCGATGCAATGCAATGCAATGAATGCCAACAAACATTTATTCGAACAAAAGAATGAAAGAAACGAACAAATAATATAAAACTTTCAACAATGACTCATTACTCTTGAATCAAGTAACAACAACAACATAAAACACACAATGAAGGAAACAATTTCTAATTTGAAACCAAAAAAAAAAAAAACATTACCGAAAACATACACAACTCATCTCTACATACATTTAAACGCATTGCAACAAACAAACAAATACACACCGTTTTCATTAATCGATACCTGAAATATCCCTAGACAAAAGCAAACAAAACAATTTACCGTAGAATGGAAATAGTATCGAAGGAAGGAAGAAAACATATTGCAAACCAATGGATAGTTTACTTAATTGTATTGATGTACATTAAAATGGATGGATTCTGACCTGGATGGAATGGCATTTTGGCCAAGGAACCCAAGTTGACGAGTCGAAATTCAAATTGGATTCTGCAGTTAATTAAATTCTAAAGAGTTAATTGACTTTGCGTAACCCATTGCGAAACACGACTCCTCTATCATCCTTAACCGAAACCAAGTTCCATGCACATCGAACAAAATCAAAAACACCGTCGAATCCAAAATCAATCACAAAGTCTTGAGACATTTCCTCTTAGCAATTGAACTATTCATAACCGACAAAATATTCCACTAAGTCAAATGTAGCTAACAACTACGGAATCCAATAAATATTTAGCAATTAAATTTCTTTCTACCAAACAAAAAAACAAAACATTTAAAACAAAAAAACCGTGACTAAAAACTGATTTATACAACAGCAACAACAACTTAAAAACAAATCGTACCAAAAATCCACACAAACTAAACAAAAGAAAAATTTGGTGTGTTTGTTCTTGTGTTCAATTCCTTCAACGAACAAACGCACACTTTGTAACACACGTACATCAACCTAAGCAGGTACAACTGACTATTACCAATAGACAGATAACTATTCTATTTAAGAAGAGTCAAAACAAAAAGAGTATTTATTTATTTTACAACAACAACAAACAAATGATGTAACATCAATGCAGCGACACTTCAAAGTCGCAACCAAAAAAAAAAAAAATACACACACAATTCAAGAACCATTCGCTCGAACAGCTCACGCCCGTTCGTAGCACAAAATGAATAAAAATATATGAGATGAAGATGAACAAGTGAAAGAAGAAAAAAAAAACATGAAATGATATTGATTAAAATGCATGGAACAACTAGTCAAACCAAAAAATAACAAAAAATAAGGAGATGAAAACACACAAAAAATTCTATATTATAGTAAGTGTATTATAATAAACCATAGAAATTATTCTACATTACAAAAATATATATACATAAATGTATTAAAAACAAACGACTCGCCATTTTTGACCATGTATTAAACACCCTTTTTTCCAGCTATTACTATATTGACTAAGGTAAGTTATATGGAGGAGAAACCACTTTCCTCGGGATACTTTGATTTGATTTCTAAAATAAGCTAGGCGATTCTGGATATCTCAATAAACTACCGCTTGAAATATATTGACTTGCCAAGGCTTGAACATTGGACTTAAAAATAATAACCAATCGATTTTTTTTCTTTCAATAATTCAATATTGTGTGACTGTGGATGAGTTTTGTCTTTGATACATTTACGGGTGATTTTATAATACTAATTTTAGCTAAAATGAAGCTATCTCTTCATTACTTATACTATACAACAATTTCAAAAGAACGTCACCCACCTGGCGTGATTGTTAATAGCTCATTAGTGTTGGAGTCTTACTAATTTCAGCAAAATTTTATTTGAGCGTCTATTAAGCACACATCTGGTGGGCAAAATGTAAAGAAAAATAACGAATTTTCTCAGTTTTGTGACCATAAGAAATTAAGAACTGTACGGCCTAAATATATTGATTGGTTTGGTGGGAACTGACAATTGAATGTAAGGATTGAAGTGCAAGTTCAAGGAAATTCCGTCCAAATATGGTAACCAAAAATCACACTTGTGCATGTGCGTTCGTCATGAAACTTTCAGGATCTTAATTTTTCACTAAAATATCAAACATCAAGAAGTTTGAAATGAGAAATTTTCAAAAAATTGTACCATTCATCATTCAGAAAAACGAAATTCTTCATGAATAAAGTATCATAAAAAAGCTTCATAGGCTACAAAAGTAATGTAAGATACGTTTTTGTTGGCCAAAAATTAGAAAAACAATTCATGCATAGAGAAAATTGAATATATCAATCGAAAGTATCACCGCCATATCAACAGATTTCACAAAGTTCAGTTCCAGAGGCTAGAGCGTATATTTTCGCATTTTATCCAACCTTATCTGAATCTAAATCAGCTAAATGTGTGAGCATTGCTCATAATAAAGTATTGATTTTATATTTAAAGCGGTGAAAATTCGTCAATTCCGCATAAATCAACTCAGCAACGCTTAAGTATACGAGTATGCGTTAAGTACATCAGCGCATTTTGTGTTTGACAGTTCACATTGACCGAGACGATTCGTACGTAATTACGTATCGAGTGACAACTGTGATGTTTTCAGAAGCTGACGTGTACTAGCAAAGAGTTGTGTAGTTCTAACACAGTCATTCGGTTCAGTCACGATTAAATTCATCCAAAGAGAAAATTTTCATCAAAATGCTTAAATTAGGTATGTTTCCAATTGTTTATCGAACAGATATATCACGGTTTTATAGAACTTAATTAGGAAAAACAAGTTTCGTTTTGTTATAATGCTAAAGAAGTTAAATGCCGATCGTAAGCCCGAGTCATACCGGCATTTCAGTGTTGCAATAAAATTTTGGATTTTTTTTTGTTTACACACGATTCTAAAACAGACAGGGCAAATTTGTGCAGAATTTTCTCAGTTTATAATGTATCGGACGGAATGTTCAATGAAATGAGTGTCCTTTTAAAAATGCCATTGCCTGTGGCACAAAGTAGAAAAACAAACAAATCTAACCTAACTCCTATATCGATTAGTTGACGTTACATCTTAAGTGTGCCTATTGAAGTCGAGATTTAATCTATCGTTCTAATTGGTTCACAGGTTTCTTACTATTTTTAAGCATTTTTGTGCTGGGAGATGCTCTCCGAGCCATCGACAATCATTTGACCAGCGAAGATAATGCACGCCTGCAACAAGTATTCGTAGATGGCATCAAATCAAATGATTTACAGGCAATTTACTTCAGCGCACTCAATCTCAAGGATTTATCAGCTGGCGAAAAAAATGCAGCTTGTCAACGACTTGCCAATTTGTACACCGAATCCAAATTGAATGTAAGTATTTTCGGTGTGAATTTTCGAGAATGAATTAAATTTTGATTTTTCGATGTACCACGCAAATTTGTTCGTTGATTCAGGCAAAAAAAAAAATTTGCACAAAATAATTTTAAATTCATATTTCATAGGAATTTGAGAAGAATTTCTATTTGGTCGGTGCTAACAAACTTCTATCGTGCTCAAGTCCAGTACCATCCGACGTTTTGTCAGCCATCAAATCGTCACTCGCAAAGGATACAACAACAGCACATGAACTCTATTACAATTACTTTTCGAACAAGTACGCTGGAAATGCTATCGATGATGCGACCAAAACACGCATTGCCGCCAATTTGCAAACCATTTTGAAGGCCGATGATTCATTGAGCAAGTGAGTTGAATTTGTTCTAAACCAAGAGTTTTTTTTTCTACTTCATTATGTTCTTTTTTCTCGCTGTATTTCAAAAGAAATTCTTATCTTATCTTTTTTTTTATCGAAATATGTTTAAAAATATGTGTTTTTTTGCTGTCGATTCAACATTTCCTCTTTTTTCACTTTAGCCTTGGTCATGCATTCAGCATCGCTGCTGAATTGGGCACCAAAGCATCGGCACTTTCAAAATGGATCGAAGGAACCATTGCACAAGCTGATGAAATCAATGGCAAGCAATTGCAATTCGAAGGTGGTTTGAGCATTACGGCATTGATTATCAACGGAGTTTTGAAGTTTTCGAAAACTGTGAACGCTGCGGCTCCATTGACCGAAGACCAACTGAACAAATTCATCACATATTTCTTGTCACGTAGCGTTGTTCTGCAACCAAAAGGTGCATCGTTCTTGCTTGAAGTGTTGGAAACCATTGCCTCAGACAAGAAATCGGCTCCGATTGGAATTTCATTCATTGGAAACGGTCAAGTGTTCCCAGAGACTCAAGAATTGAATCTTCGTATCGTTGATATTTTGGGCAAGCCAGTTCAACCAGCCATCTCATCGATTTCTGCATCGATTACATCGAAAGCCGACAACTCAGTATTGGGATCAAATCTTGCATTCACATCACGTAGCTCAGATCACACTACCTACAGCTTGAGTTTGAAATCATTGAAATTCAGCCAAGGATCGTATGCTGTTGATATTAAGGCCGATTCGTACACTCAAACATTGGTGTTCAAGGTGTTGACACAAGTGAAAGTGGCCAGTCTTGAGATCGGCATCGGTGAATCCGACAGCGCTTCGGCTCTTCAGAAACACACTGTTGCTTATCCACAGAAACTTGATGTTGTTTTGAATGCCGACCAACAACAGAAGATTCTCGTCAAAGCATTGCTGGTCGATGAAGTCACAAAAAGCCCAATTACTGTGCATCAAGCCTTTGTTCTGTTTGAAGATGACAAAAAATCACGCGAAGTCATCTTTGTTGCTGAACAAGACTCGTCAAAGGCATACAAATTCGATTTGGATGTTGGCGCCCGTGCTGTTTACTTCCAACACAAATCAGGCGTGTACTCATTGGAATTGATCGTTGGCGATTCTTCTATTTCAAACTCATTCCGATGGCACTTGGCTGACATCGAATTGAAATTCCACGAAGTTAAAGAACAAACTGGTGAGGAGGACAAATCCTGTACAATTTTATTTTCAAAAATTTTCACATTTCTTTCTCTCAACAAAAAATGATTGATCGATTAATTTTCTCTCTTTTCAGCCTCAAACGTTAACCAATCGCGAACACCAAAAGCAGAGATCATCCATCAGTTCCGTGAACCGGAAAAGCGTCCACCACGTTTCGTCTCCGATGTTTTCACCGTACTTTGTGCCGTTCCACTGTTGGTATTGCTCATTTTATGGGCCAAACTGGGTATCAACTTGTCAAACTTCTCGTTCAGCTTGAGCGGAATCGGATTTTTTGCCAGTTTTGGCAGCATTCTCACATTGTTCGCTCTGTTCTGGTTGAAATTGAACATGTTCGATACTTTGCGCTACCTAATCCCATTGGCGATTGTCACATTCTTCTTCGGGAACCGATTCCTACGATCGATCGCACGAAAACAAGTCGAGCACAAAAAAACCGAATAGAAAATTACATCAATTTTTTTTTGATGTGATTTGAGAGAAATTTCGTTCATTTAACAAATAACACGTTCACACCATGTCAAAGTGATCAGATTCAGCTGAATCAACAATACACTGACTTCTTCATCAAATCTTAACTTATAAGACATTTAATTCTGTGTGTTTTTTTTTGCTATGAACGTGTTATTTCATCGAAATAAAAGGAGAAAGAAGAAAAAATAAAAAAATGAAAAACTGGAGTCAACACCAAAATTACACAACTCATTACTAAATGTCGTTTGAGGACGACCGAATAAGTGCATTTTGCTGAACCGATTTGATAAGTAACATTGAAAGAGACTAAATAAAAAAAGTAAAAACAAAACCATTTTCTGTGCTTAGTTTAACGCTTCAGTTTCAATCAAATTTTCTTTTTTAAGTATCTTGAATTTGCAGTAAAACAACTGTTAAGTCATTTTCAGGAAGTGTGCATAAAGTAGATTTATTTAGATACTTTACAACATAGGAACACGGAACATATTAAACATTCACACACAAAAACAAACTATTTGAGCAAACGGCATTTTTCTTTGTGTTTTTTTCTTTTTGTTGTATTCATCTTTAATATTGTAGTCTCAAACTGTTACGATGTTGGTGTAAATTTTGAAACGCGTCTTCAACGGCACAACCGAGTTTGTCAACGAACACTTGCTTGAGGATAATTTGTAGAAATCGTTATGTTCTTGAGATTATTACATCTCTGAGTGAATAAAACGCATAATAAGTGATTGTAACGCATTGGAGAGAGTGAGGGAATCTTTTTCGCAAAACAGCAAATATTCATAACACGCTCGCACCGAATCTTTATTTCTTTATTCCTTATTGACTCAGTGGAGACAACCAATACCAACGCAAATCAAAACAATTGATTCGTATTGGTTCGAATCAATCGTCTCTCCAATGCGTTACAATTTCGCAAGGTTTTTTTCTTCTTCGTATTTCGCCCGTGTTTAGTGATTATGTCATTCCATTCTTTTGTATTGATTCGTATCCCGTCCGATCATGAAAAGAAACATAAACAACCACGAATAAACCACTGTCGTTACATGCCTTGTGCATGATACGTTTTAAGTAGTGGCCTATAAATTAGGTGGTCGTTTGACGGCTGGTTATTATGGACGGGACGAAGCGCATTTAGAAATTCTCGATAAAATGCCATTGCCTTCTAATTAACCCTTTAATGCACAATTTTTTATTTTTGAATCATTTTGATATATGTTTTGTGCCACGATAATAAATAGTGAAAGACCTCATACTTAGTTTTTGGAAAAATTGCGTATTTGTCGAGAAAATCGGAAAAGAGTCAAAAGTGTCAAATCGCTATAACAGCTCGAAAAAATTAAATTTTATAAAACTAATGATGCAGAAATTTAAATTGATTTGTTTTGGTCGTACGAGTCCTAATTTGACAATCGAAAAGAATCTACAAACCCAGAAGATAAGAGGAGGAAAAATTGATATATTATGAATAATGGTTTTTGGCATTTATTTTCTTTCTCTCTCTCTTTGTTGTTGTTCTAAATGCTAGTGTAAATGTACCGTCTGTGAGGCACAAGGAAAAATACACTTTTCGAGGTTTTAGCAAAGATAAATTGCCATTAATTTGGAAAAATAACACAAAAGAACCTCCATTTACCCAATATTTTAGTCAAAAATCAAATTTATCATTTTTCTGTGTTTTATGCGAGAATCATGAAATCCTAACAAGTTTTATCAAATGCCATGAATCTGATGCCATTAGAATGGGAATTCTGGATGCTTATCAATTCTGTAAAAAAGAACAGACAAATCAAATCGTTATTAAAGTGTCCATTAACAAATTGGCTGTTGACCGTGTAAAATTTATTTACCCTTGGAAGAAGTCTAAAGTACAAATGCGGATGCCTTTGTCCAGAACCTTAATCATCTTCATATCTTCTGTGGTTAAATCAAAGTCAAAGAGTGCCAAATTTTCCCGTAAACGACCAGCATTGGTGCTCTTTGGAATGGCAGCGACGCCGCGTTTCACAATCCACTTCAACAGAATTTGTGCCGGTGTTTTGCCCAATCTCGTAGCAATTGCTTTCACCTCGGGTATCCCAAGTAAGTCAGGCACGTTACGTCTGAAGAAAGAAAAAATATGCGAAAATACAAAGACCATTAAATTCATACAGTGTGCAAATAAATCAGCGAATCATTCATGTATGCACAATACTCACTGTTTACTAGTTATTTTCAACAAAAACTCGACGATACCTTTCGAACCGAGCGGCGAATATGCGGTGACGATAATGTTGTTTGCTTTGCAAAATTCCACCAATTCAGTTTGTTGGAAATAAACATGCAGTTCGATTTGCAACGAAGCCGGTTTAATGGTTGCGTTATCCAAAATGCGGTGCACTTGACGTTGATTAAAGTTCGAAATGCCAATACTTTTGATAAGACCAGCACCGACGAACTCTTCAAGTTTCTGCGTATAATATTGTCGATTAATTTCGGTTTTTGTTTTTATAATCGATTTGTGACTCGTTTGAGATAATACTCAATGTGTCTTACTCACCTTCCAGATGGCCACATGATCGGTGGTTAAATCCAATACAACGTCACCGTTTGGATGAAATGCCATTTGACCGTCGATTGGTTTGGGGAATCCAAATGGTGTATGCATCAAATACAAATCAACATACAGTGCCGATCAAAAGTTTGAGTACGACTATAAAATCCATATT